ATTATTGCCAACTAATCCATTTTTACCAACTATCTATAAAAATACGTATCCATTACCTACAATGTAATCATTACATTTATTTACATTAATTATCAACTTTGAAAAAACAAGTGCAAAAATATAATATTTATAGTGAAAAATGAATAATAATAATGATAACAACAACAATAGAAATAATAATTATATTAATAATAAACTTCACTGTTCATATATAAATATATATATTAATAAGTGACTTCAACTGATTTTTCTCATTTTCTTTTCAAAAATATGCCATGTTATTTGCCAGGGTGATATTGAAATGAGAAAAATAAATTAATGTCAGTTATTTTTAGTATAAGATTATACTATTTTTACTATTTTTCTCATTAAACTTATATGCCTAGAAGTGTAAATGAAAATATCAGATAAAAAATTTTGCTTTATCAATATAATATAACTGTTACATATACCGGTATGTGTTCCCAAATTACCCATTACTTCAGTGTGGGCATAGAAAAGTTGTTTGAAGTGGCAAATAGGTGAAAGATAAGCATCTTTGCTTTCTAACATTAACAAAATGAAAAGGTACTTTACTCGTATAGCATTTAATGATAGGAAGAGTTTACTTTTCTTTTTCTTTTTTAATAACTGATAAATAAACAAACAAATAAATAAAGGGATGAAAAAATAAGTAAATAATAAATAATTAAATAAATATATGAATAAATAAATAAATATATATATAAATCATTGATGTAATATAAGGTGATTGAAATGTGATAAAAACATCAAATGGTAAAAATGTTATTTAACTGCGGTAAATCATTATCAATTATATGCAATAATGTCTTATCAAAGTTATATTGTTATGGTTATATATTGGTACATCTTCATCTGTTAATTATTTTGAAATTATATCAAAGTTTATGCGGACAAATGACACATAACTGTTTGCTATGCATGTATGTTCCAAATGTGCCAATTCAATGTTCTAAGATTTCTTTACTCAAAGAAGTAGTAAATCTTATAAGCTATCGTACAATCTCTAGTTGTAAAATAATGTCCATTTTACTGACAGTCGATTCCACATTAATCATTTCGCTAGTAGTCAATAAATACACTGACGCACTAATAGTCTTACCACATAACGCGGAAATAATACAAGTTACACATTGTGTTGATTAGTTACACAATGTGTGAGAAGTTCTACATCATCTTTAGGCTTTTCATTAAAAAAATAAATGCGTTTTTAAAAATATTTTAATATAATATACCTTGCCTACCTTATGATAACTATTATAAGTTCAAATACAAACAAGAGACAATGTGAATACATAAGCCGACCTCTGGTAAAATATTCGACCTGCGGGGGATAATAACATTCCTGCCTTATGCCCGTAACAGCACAAACGTCAAAACATGATCATGATTCTTGTTTTAACCCGCACTCCCCCGGGGCGAAACTAAAAAAAATTGTATTCAAAACTTAAATAAAATGTGTATGCAAAACTAAAAAAAAAATATGCATGCAAAAAACAAATATGTATTCAACACTTAAATAAAATATGTATGCGAAACAAAAACAAAAAAAATTAAGACAAAACAAAAAAATAAAGAATTGCAAATGTCACTTTTATGCCACCGTACATAACTGAAAATGAAACTATTTTTTCATAAAAAAACAAAAGTATCTCAAAAATGTTCGGCCATGGTAAACGAGGTTGCTTTGTTATAACAAATATAGTACTATTTATATTCATAAGTATTTTCAATGATATGTTTCTTTTGGATCGTTTTTCCCTGTGTTTTCTCTTCTTTTCTATTTTATTGTTGTTGTTGTTGCTTCTTTTTTTTGTAAAAAAAACAAAACAACAACAACAAAAAAAACAAACAAAAAAAAACCATTAAACTTGCAATAACATTTATGCATATAAAGGGCTTATAGTTTTATTTTTTATAATAATTTTTTTTTTATAATAAAATTTCATGCATTGTTACTGCAACAAACGAAAATTAAGGCAAATTTGACGTTCCTGAACATTCATGGAATATAATACAAATAACTAACATTATTTTTGCAGAATTCTGATCTTATATCTATTTTTCTGATTATCGAAAATCAGACACAAAAATAAAAATTTCAATATAATAAACATAATAAGAAAAATATGTGTATCAAATTCTATTCGATGATAGAAGCTAGTATCAAAATGTTAAAAAGGTTAAAGGCACAATCTGTCGCAGAAATCCATAATATTTAAAATGTTTAGAAATGTAAAACATGTATTCACTATTGTTTTAATCAAAGATTTAGAGAATGTAAGATGTTTAACATATGAGGAAAGTATCGCTGAATGTTCAATAATATGTCGTAAAGGTAGCAATATGTAATCTAGGCAGTATTTTGACTTCTACACGAAATACTTATTTAGAATAATTATATTAATCGCAAAATTATTCTATATAGAAAATGAGATCTTACCACTTTTAAGAAACTGTAACAGAATACCTAACTTAAAATTTATAAAAAGGTTTTGAAAAATGAAACTAAGAGCAATTTTTAGGCATGATGTGCCTTTAATTGTACATCCCAAAGATTATGAAAAACCAGATATGCGTAATATGATATTACACAAAACACAAAGCACTGACAATGCAAGACATAAAATTTATACATTTTTCTGAATATATTTTTGCAGAATCAAATAATGAGTTTCATTCTGTAAAGAAAAACAAAAATAAAACAAAAATAAAACGATAGTCGAAACACGATGAATTGAGAATACCAAAATCACTTCAGCAACTTCAATGTTAAATGTTTATGTATGATGTTTTCATCGCGCATTCAAAATATCTGCGTTTGTTCCGATGAATCACTTGTCTTAACAACCATTTTTATCCGTATTTTATGGTTACTCCCTATTTGACGCCGTTTTATCTTATTATCCAGTATACGTCTTATTGATTTGTTGAATATCAAATCACTTTTTTCCTTTCTTCTCTTATCTGTAAAATAAAATAATTTTATTTTCATTTTTTCCACATCAAATGTGTTCCTTAGATAATTATAATGAAATGAAAGTCATACATTAATTTAAAAGTTTTAAACGATCAACTTCCTGACACAAATGAAACACATGATTGTGTGTATTTTATAGGAATGTTATGATTCGCTTCTAAGGACTGACAAAATGTGCATGTATCGCATACTCAATCTGAAATGTTTAAAAACATTTTCTCTCTGATTTGTATGTGATATGAGTCGTATAAATACATTGACTTACACTTTAAGAATAACGGGATTTTCAAGTTTATGTAATTTTATGTATGTAATTTAATGCAAGGATAAACAATAGTTTTAATATTTTTTTCATCTAAGCTTGAAATGTTTGTATGTTACTATTTATTCATAGACAAATTTGAACGAGTCAGAACAACATTAAAGGATCATTTTATGCAAGAAAAACAAATATTGACAGAAAACGTATTAATATGTAATTAATATTTCATAAAGTCTTATAACCTGCGTACATTTTTTATGCTTGTTTCAAATTTTAAGAATTTGTGTGTAAGTTACAATAAATATAAAATTATAAAAATGTTAAAGTTACAACAATTTAAATTATCATCACACTTTAGATGTTATGTTTATTAATTAAAACGCATGGAACACAAGTAAATGACAATAAAAGAGAGTTGCCTAAGCTAAAAGAATAGTTTAGAACCACCAAATAACTCTTATGAAATGAAGGTGAAAATTATGTTATGCTTGAAAGAAATAAAAACATGAAAATAGTAAGATGAATGTATACAAAACATAAAATGATGAGTATATGTACCTGATTAATTAACAATTTCCCAAGCACTAATCGATCACCATCATGTACTTCTGATAGCCATGTTTCATTGTTAGTTATGTTTAGCTTATTAGTTCGAATCAGTAATTCAGTGTTCTATTACATTATTTTAGTACACACTAACACTTTAAACTTTACACAACAAATGTGTACTCTTCCTTCAGTTTCAACCGAAACAGCCTGTGCTGAATCTCTCTTCTATGTGTTGTTGAATATAACCTTTCATCAACGGGTTAAATCTGCCATTATGCAAAAGTTAAATCTGTTCAAAACATGTTAATTCCCAATGCACAGTCGTATATTAGATTTTTATTTATGTTAAATATTTTCAGAATATGTTTTATTGGTATGTTTGTAATTTTAATCTTAAATATACTTGGAATAATTAGACACAAATCTTATCGTAAATTTATCACAAGGAACGTGTTTCTATTTATAGATTAATAATGAATTTGAATTATGGTATAGTAGAACAACTTTCATATTCATAACTAGCAAATACATAAATATAAGTGTAAAAAAGACATCATGTTATGTTTAACGCCTTTTATCGGAATACCGGTATTGTGCTCGTGTCAGGGAAAATTGACTTCTCAACAAAGCTCATAACGTAAATTACATTATTTATTGATGAGTACCTGTAGAAGATACATAGATACAGATAAAGTACTATCTTATTCAATGTGAAACAATTAGTGTATTTAATATTGGCGTTATCGATTGTTAATATATTATCGTTTTCAGAATTCCAGAATTAGACATATGTACTTGCATTTACTACATGCAAGAATTGCGACATGTTTTAATATTCAGTTATGTTAATTTGTCTCTTTGTTGATTATACTCTGTATCTTTCTGTTATGTAGCATAACATATTCACATTTTCGTTTATCTGCTTGCAGGGATAGCAAACACATACGTTTCTCTTGCAAACGGTTTTCCCTATCGGTTTCTTACGCAAAACCATAGGCAAATTAGAAGATATACATTGCTTGTTTTAAAAATATTCAAAAACTATACATCACATTTGAAGATTGTATTTTTTTCAATACATGATACTTAGTATTAAACACTTCTGAATCTGACATCTATACTCAAATATAATCATCTGAAAATATTCTAGGTATGCAAAAAGATTTATCCTGTTATTATTACTTCTGTCATCTCCATTTGGTAAATTATTATCATTATCATCATCATCCTGTGTGATGATCTCCACAGGCTCTTGTACTCCTCTAGTTTTACAAAAGTTATGTAGCCTCATACATGCTACAAAACTTGGCTGCTCTTTTCTGGTGAAAACGGTAGAACACCACCACTTTTGTGTAGGCATCTGCAATAAAGGCATAAATATATGAGCCGCATCATGACATAACCAACATAATGGGTTTGCGACCAGCAGGGATCCAGACCAGAGCGCAGTCTGATCAGGATCCATGCTGTTCGCTTACAGTTTTTCTACTTGTTATAGGGTTTGTAAACGAACAGCATGGATCCTGATCAGACTGCGCGGATGCGCAGGCTGGTCTGGATCCATGCTGGTCGCAAACCCATTATGCTGGTTTTGTCGTGACGCGGCTTATGTATGTTATTTGTTTCATGTGGTATGTCATTACTTCAGTGGCATGACATTTTCACAAAAATAGGGCCAGAAGTAGAGATCAAAGTTGGGACAGCATCATTTAAACATATTGTAAATTCATTATCAATACAGGTCATATAGTGAAACACATTATGATAAAATGGATCAATACAATACAGCATCATTTAAACATATTGTAAATTCATTATCAATACAGGTCACATAGTGAAACACATTATGATAAAATGGATCAATACAATTTGGCGGCGTGGCCGAGTGGTTAACGCGTCGGACTATTAATCTAAGGATTGCTGACCGCGTGGGTTCAAATCCTGTCAGGGCCACGCCGTTGTTTCCTTGAGCAAGAAACTTTACATTCATTGCTTAGTACTGGTTGGTTCCAGGAACGGATTCGAGAGTGTTTCAATAAGCTTATAGCTTCCAACACAATCGAACTAAAATAAATTTGTATAAACTAAACTAATACAATAATTACTTTGAATGATTTGCAATATTTTACCTGAAACGTGACTTCAGTATACCAAAGGCTTTTTCTACCACCATTCTGCCTCTGCTATGGTGTTTATTGAAGGCTTCCTCTTGTGGTGTTGTCGGATTCACCTTTGGGGTCAAGAGGTACCTCCTTAGAGGGTAACCACTATCCCCCAATAACAACCCATTATTACTTTGTTCTAAATGTGTCTGAAAAATGATAGGTTATCATAAAGCAGTTATTTTCAGATGACATATAGTTTTCTTTAGAAAATTCACAAAAGCTAGATAAAATCAGAAAGAAAAAATATTTTTGTCCTTAATCATTTAGTATGATGTTAGCACAAGCATTTACTAATATAATTAGAAGTCCATTAAGGGTAATGCAGCTTTAATTCATGTCATGAGAAATTGATTGTGAAAAATTTCACCTTTAACCCACAAGCACTGAAAATGGCCGCCTCATGCTGTGAACCAGGCCACCTTGAAACAACATCTGTGAATCTACAAGAAGTATATTTATTTGATAAGTAAATCTACAACAGCTAAATTACTTGTATATGTGTACAGCTCCACATACTCACCTAATATTCTTTAATCGAAGGTTTACACTTTGTATGAATTGGTGAATGTAAATGGCAGCTCTGGCTTTAGACACCCCGTGGAGGTCTCCAACTTCTGATATGAAATCGCCTTTTGCGAGGTATCGAAGTCCAATAAGAACCTGCAATGAATGAAGGTCGAATTGCTTTATTGATGTGCTTGAAATAAAATTACTTTGATAAAAATATATCTAGATCTTATATGATTTTTACGGTGGCACAAATGTGACATGTGTGTGTTTTTATTTATCTCGTTGCCACGAGATACTATGTCGTGGCCACGAGTTACTAAGTCGTGGCCACGAGATACTATGTCGTGGCCCAGGTTACTAAGTCGTGGCCACGAGATACTATGTCGTGGCCACGAGATAGCTAAGTTGTGGTCACGTGATAAATAACCAATCAGATTACACCATTTATGTTACTTTCCCCAATTAACTAGACATGTGCTGTAGTACAAGGATACCCCTACTTCACCAGCCTGTAAAAGTGCAATTTATACAACTTATTGACTTGTCGCTAATTTTACACTTAGCGTCACTGTGACTTAGTAACTCGTGGCCACGACATAGTATCTCGTGGCCACGACATAGTATCTCGTGGCCACGAGATAAATAAAAACACACACATGTAAAGAAAAAAAAGAAAACTAACAAGTGTTGGCTTTTATTATACATACCTAAAATATGACATTTCTATTCAATGGGCTGTGAAACTCAGAACTTATTAGCTATCATGTAAAGAAATTATTCTTACCTGCTAGTGCTATACTTATGATAAGCTTTAATAATAGACGACATGGACGAGTGCTATGTCATAAATTATTAATCCTTTATCGTTTATTACTGATTTCTCGTAACTTCAGCAACTGTTGATATTGCCAGCCATTAAATGTAAAATGAACAGTGTTTACATTTCATAACAAAACACGTTTGCCCATTTTTACAGGTAATGAAACCGGTTTAAATAATCCTCCTATCATCAGATCATCCTATGCCTATGGCTATGCACTCCTTGTTTACGGATCATAATATCTACAAATTCAGCCAAATTCCTCGAAATTCCTCTCCTCTGACGTATTAAGAATTATTGAATTTGTTAATAACATCACTTTTCCTTTCTTTTACAACGGCATTGTTATCAAAGCTCTAATTAAAGCCGTGTTATTGTGGATCCAAGTCTAATGTTTTTGTATGTATACACATAACACAGCGCCATGTTTACCCATAATGCTTGGGCTAAAAATAAATCAAGGTTAAGGTCAAACTGCTTAGTTACGAATGTAAACACAATGTAGAGAGTAATAAATACAGTGAAACTTCGATACATTTACCTTCGTCATGCTGCAAATAGACTGCGATCTACCCGTTTTAGGAGAAAGATCAGCCCGACAGAGCTCTTCCAACTCTTTAATCGCTGCTTTATTGAGTCTGTATCGGGAAATGACTTCTCGATCGGTTAAATCATCAATATTAACCGTTCGTTGCCGAAAACAGCGTGATTTTCGTCGGCGGCGTTCGTTTACAAGTAGTAAGGCGGCCATTTTGTTTGATCTGCGACTGCTTCTCAGCGATCGCAGAAAAAATGCATGATCTTAGGATAATCGTACGATTATGAAAATCTGCGACGTTTGATAAGACACCACCAAAATCGTACTATCGACGTACGACAATCGTACGATAAAAACGGTCGTACGACCGTTGATAAGACAATATAACTTTGGTTGAATGAGTTTTGTTTTTTCTCTGAACCGGGTTATATAATTAAGCTATTTACTCAGCATTGAAACAATATATTTTCATGAAAGCAATCATATCATCATCATATAAACGGGGGTAAAACCATATATCACGAACACATTTTAATCTACACAAATAACAATTATCAGCAAATATCATACTAACGCATGAGAAATATGGAGAAAAAATATCATATTTATTCATTTCGTAAATTAGTATTACACCATTTGCGATTTCGAAGAATGAACTGCAAAAATGACAGTAATATTAAAATATGATAAACAAGATCAACAAGGAAAGGCGGCGTCCAATAAACGCAACCCCCATACGACCCAGCAACAAGAACCATTTTAAAGTATGAACAATATACTTCTATGCATATTTATCAAATAACTCCAAACAACAGTTTGCAAAATTATCCTTAGAAAATAAACCCCTATAAAAAGATAGTCGAATAGTATCCGCAGAACGGACAGGTACTAGGTTTAAAAGATAGGGGAATTATTCCCCTATCTCTCTAGTCTATGTATCTCTCTCTGCATGTAAATTTGTTGCTGAAAAAGTGGCTTAAGGTCGACCCCCGGAAAAAGGACATCTGGAATTTCCTTTTTTATTCTGGAACGCATTTTTAGTAAAAGTATCATACAAAAAGACAAGCTGATTTACTGTAGAATCGCCTGGAATAAAACCCGATTGAAATGGAGTAAAAAACTTTGAACGATTAAGGAAATTAAATACATGCTTAAATAAGATTCGTTCAAAAACCTTTTCTATTGTTGATAACAAGGATACAGGCCTGTAATTTGACACAAGTGAACGATCTCCTTTTTTATAAACTGCACATACATTAGCAATTTTCCAAGATGATGGAACATAACAATTTTGTAAACTCGAATTAAATAACTCACAAAGAGGTAATTTTACGTGTTCAACGGACTCCTTTAGAAGTTTGTTATCAACACCATCAGGTCCTGAAGCTTTTCCAATTTTTAGACATTTAATTGCATCTTCAACTTCAGAGGTTGAAATTGTAATTGACTCCAATGATTGAGGATTAGCTGAAGCAGATGATAAGATAGGGACTTCTTTGTCAGAGCCAGTAATTAATGATTGTCTTGTAGAATAAGTATTCAAAATATTTGATTTTTTTCTGTCATCATAGACAAGTTCATTTAAAACATCATCACTTAAAGGGGGAATTCCAACAGACTTTTTATCAGAAATAAAACCTCGTAATATTTTCCACCAATCTTTAGATGAAAGAGCCGAATTTTTTAATTTGTTTGAAAGAGAATCTATATATTGATCTTTTGCCTGTTTTATAGAAGAAACAACTTGGTTTCTTAACCTACGGAATTTATTCCAATGAACAGTAGTGTTAGTAAGTTTTGCTTTTCTATAGGCTCTTCTTCTTTGACGATTTTATGTTTGATATCATTTGTTAT